ATGTTCACACGTTGCTGCTCTACAGCAGTCTCTGATGAAGAACTCCAGTTCGAGTTTGAAAGCTAAGGCCAATGAATCTACCGTCCCAGTGATCGTGTCTTTGTCCTTTTTTTAACAAGAACCTTAGATGCGCATACTCTCCTGCATAAATGTATTTTAAAAATTACTGCTCGGTAGCTGAGGAGTGGAAAAATATTCCCCAAGGGTTAAAAACTAAAGGAGAAGTGGATATCAATAGTAGTAAAAATGCGATTCCCAGGTGGCATATCAAAAGAAGAGGGGGCGTTCACCGGGAGGCGTTTATTTGAGATCCGAAGTTTCGGGTAGTTTATTCGTCTACCCATCTTCAGGGACTGAGAAGTCCAACCCGCATGTCACACGGTGACATGCGGGTTGGATGCAGCCACACAGGCGGCATTGGCGGATCATGCATTGGACAAGGGGCGCCATAATAAGGAGTGCTGTGCACAGGAGTTCCGAGTCCCTGAAGATGGGTAGACGAATAAACTACCCGAAACGTCGGATCTCAAATAAACCCCTCCCGGTGAACGCCCCCTCTTATTTTGAGAAGTGGATATACTACGAATTCTTATTTTAACCTTACTTTTCAAAGAGAATAATAAAAAACAAAGTTTTCATTACTTTGTGAATTACACTTTTTACTGTCAGAGGAGCTTGAAAGATCTTTCCTTAACTTGTCACTTTCACTTGTACTGGGTCTGGATCGTAGGCAGGAATAAAAGGAGTTCAGTTTCATATACAATGAAATCGGCCATTATTTAAGATGCCTGTTTTTGACGAAATAGCTACTGGCAAGGCGCTCCCTCAAACTACGAGCAGAGGCGCCATCTTGCAAGTGTATGGTGCCCATCCCGCGTCGATCAACGTCATTTTTACCGAGGGCATCATTTGCGATGTTGCTGGTGTCTTTTGTTGGCCATCAATGAGCCGATCTTCGAATACTACGGCCATTTGGATCGTCAAGTTTGGCTAAGTTTTAAAAGCTTTTGCGCACGTAGTATAGTGTCACGGGAAAGTCCCACCACACGTGATCGTCAAAGCTCTGGAATAAGCTTCAAGGCAGAGGTAAGTGCTCTTTTAGAACGCAGATCGGTTATCTGTACACTTGAAAGGCAAATAGGAAACATCCCCTAATTATTTTCCTACTTGCATAGGACTTCTTCATCAATCTGCTTACGTGGAAGTCCAATTTCATAATTTCTCTGGACGACGCGAAGATGGAGCATTGGCAAACGACCTCTGTGAAGTGTGCTTCCAAGCGTACATAGATTCTTAATGGTTAATGAGTAAAAAAGTCAGTTACACAGCCGTAGATCGTTTCAATACGCCGCCAACTTTTAAACACGCTTTTGTTGATGATAATTTCACCGCCAGTAGGAGGTACTTGCATTGAAAGCTTTACCTAAAGCCACATGCGCAACCAGTCAGCTGCTAATTTCCATCCTCATTCAGAGTCAATCTCAGATAAAAATGATCGCGACCTGTTTGCTGGACTGAGGAACAGAAAATAGTGGTAGCATGTCACCAGCATGGCTCCTATATTTACTTACGTATTATTCTTCTCACTGGGGTAAAGCAATTCATTTTAACCAATCTGGCGACTACGTCTTATGGGTTAAAAGTGTTCGCCACTTCTTTAAAAATTACCCCCAATAAATAATCTGATTCAGAAAAATAATTTGACACATCAGATTAGCTTAATAAGTATGAGAATAATACTAATTAATTTTACCCTGGTCATACCGGTTCATAACTTTGACCACTGATTGCATTATTGCCGAGAATTGGTATGTTACTCTTGATAGTTCCTGCCGCAGTCCAAATTTCTTTCACAAAACGTAGTTTATCAAACTTAAAATGCCTTATCAGTGAACAAAGCAAAGTGCTTAAGCTTGCAAAGCTCTCAGCAATGTCCGGTCTGCGCTACTAGATAAGCTTGAATTCCATTAGCGACCGTTCAAAGAGGACTCCTATTGGTCCGTGCACCTAACTGCGCATGGTTACGTTCATATACATATATATATCTGCTTTGGTGAGTTTAAACAGGCGTGTCTTCCAAAAAAGACATGAGCGAGTCGCGTACTTTCTGGTATTGCATCCAGTCACTTTATTGGCCCGATTACTGTGACGTCCTACTCATTGTGTTTTCGGCCACTGGACTCTTGCTGAACACTGCCGTAGCCGTCCTCCTATTTCTCCTGAGAGGACCTTCAAAGACGAGTTTGGCGCTCCTACGAGGTCTAGTTGTGTCCTGTGCGATGGCCTGTCTAGTCAACTTTATTGAAAACACAACACCGAAGATGGAGAAAACATCCAGCTACCATTTCAACCGCCTCGTCTGCATTTTCTGGGTCAGTCGATTCCTCTACTGGATCTTCGTAGTCATTGCATCCCAATTTCTCTTCTTCTTTGCTGTCTATCGTCTGCTTGACTTGACCGGTGCTGACGGCTACAAGATTCCATCTGTAGAATATCGCATACCGACGTACGCCACTACAATCGTCGTCTTCAGCGTCATTATAACCTCACCGCAGACCTTCTCGGTGAACCTGGTGAACGATGACTGTAACTGCTCCAGTCGCAAGATCAATATTCCACTCCTATCACTGATATATGCACAAGTCTACGTCTGGATTGCAATTCTGATTGTTTTCGATGGCACTGTCCTCACTTACATTGGTTTTCGTCTTTGGCGTTCGCACAGCACACCGACAGAGTTTAAACGAGAAGACAAGATGGAACAGCTGCATTTTTACAACACTGCCTTCACTGAGATCAACATGTCTGGCAGTACTGCTGTCTGCAACTCGAGCTGGATAACAGGCTCCATGTGCGTCATTCCTCTGTCCATCAGTTATCTGGTACTGTTCTCCTATGATCAGATCTACCAGTTCGCCAGCGCAGTCGACCTGCTTACGTATGCCATAGGGACTCGAGTTCAGAAATTTGGCGGTCTCTTGATCGTCCTACATTGCGCCATTGTTCCCATCATTGTGATCATCTTTATTCGTCCTCTACGATTGGGTGTGGTAAAATACTGGAGAATGTTGATCAGTGTGTGAAAAGAGTTGCCTTTCAACTCGGGAGGCTTGCGTGTCAACTACAGAGTGGATTGGTTAGCTCTGAATTTGGTCCATTTTGCTGTCCAATAAACTGCATTTTATGTAAGCCTACATTGGTTTTTGAAATACTTGGGCGAACAAAGTTGGAGTTAAAGGGCATGAAGAACCGTAGACGGCCTACTGAGACTAACTACCCACAAGACCAGGCTTGTTACTGGCATTCATGTTGACCCAACTGTGAAAAACTCGGCGCCCCGATGGGATTCGAGCTCACTACGACAGTTCGACCGTCGATTTCGACGATGTCCACCGTGTGCCCCACAGCTGCAGCAGCGGTGGGAGCAGGG